ACGTTAACGTTAACTAAGTAGTAGTAGTGTAGTACGACGACACACGAGAGAGAGAGGAGGAAGGAAGGAAGGAAGGAGGTAGTAGTAGTAGTAGTAGAGAGAGAGAGAGAGAGAGAGAGAGAGAGAGAGGAGGGAAAGGAGAAGAAGGCATTCATGGTAGTGCATGTTATGTGGAGCAGATGGAAAAGATTGGAAATTATTTTGGAGCAAGCACCAAGGTCAAGATGAAGGTGGAGGTCATTTTCTTGAGAGTAAAGCCATTCCCAAATGCCAACTACCAACTACCCCTTTGGAGAACCTTAGCTTTCAAAACAATGCTTCCAAAATAAAAAACAAAAAAAAAAAATCACAAATACCTTCACACGTGAATATTAGTAGAAAAATACAGCTGCTTTACACGTGTGAAGGGATTGATAACATTCGTACACATGCTGAGTCGGGTCATCATCGTTCCCTCATTCCCTTGCCTTCACGGCACGCATTTTTGTGGAGCGCTTACGTGTTTCTTCTCTTTTTGTTAATTTATCCCCTTGAAAAATACATATAATTTCTTAGGTCCAAAAGGTTTTTCTTTCTCTTTTTTTTTTTTATATATAAGAGAAATGGGAATGGGGTCCATTCCAACGGTTAACATTTCAAAATGCTAAGAAAAGAACGTTGTGAGTATGCTTATTGGCATGTTTGTCCAGTTTTTAAAGGTTTTAGGACCCAAAAGATGTTATATGAAACCCATTTTTGCCTCATATCTAAAAATTTGAAGCTCCTAAAATAGTCTAGATATGTGGATAATTGACGAATTAAATTGGTATATTCATGATCGATGGTTGAGACCATAGTTATCGAGATTAGACTTAGCACTAAACTAGTGAGGGGTCTGTTGGATCATATTTTAAATAAATATAAAAAATATCAGAATAATTAGATATATCAATTTTGTTTAACCAATCAAACTGGTCAAAATCAAATGGTCCAGCCAACCAAAATTGATGAACGTTATCATATTATTGATCAAAACCAATTTTTTGCTTTAAACAAGACAAACCGAAGTGTGTATTTGGTTATAAAATCCTCTTTTACTGCAATGGTTTTCACCAATGCCCTTGATGAGTTATAGAGGATTTTACTGGAACTTTTATAATTTCATGGAACCCAACTTCCATGGTTTGTAAATTCATCATTCACTGTATTTAACATTTAAATGGCAGTTCTTTTAGGTTTATTCTTAAATATCATTTGATTTAACATGATGGAATAATATCAAGGGGCCTAATACAAGGAAATACCAAATATGCCTAGGCATTAGGGAAAGTACCCAAGCCTATCAGGCTCGGTTTTGTTCTTTTGATGTTTAAACTTATTTATGGTTGGTTTTTTCCATTATTGACTCCACTCATTTTCTCTAGCCTGGGTTTGTGGTCTTGGGCTTTGTATTTAGGGTTATTCATGGGCCCCCTCCAAACATTTCTATAATTTAATTATGACTTTACCTATATTGTTAGTTTCGTGCAGGTCAGTGTCACAAGTAACATTTGTCGAACAAAAAATAGTAAAATGTTAATTGTGTCGGAGAAAAGCAAAAAAGAATTCCTACTCCTGCAGGAGTAGACTATCCATTTACTCCCTCGAGCAAAACATATGCTAGATATACTTTTTTATGTCGAATTTCGATGATGTAATCTCTTTACTTTTTTCCCCCTTCTCCCGGATCCAATAATTGTTATCGAAGGTCTTCATTTCCATGTAAAAGCAAGCTTACATGATCTTACAAGACCAACCTTTCCATCCAAATCTATGACCAACCTTTCCTTAAGTGATCTTACAACGAACATGACTTTTTCTATTGTAAATTCGTACAGAGTAATCAACGAATTCTAGCGAAATAGAAGATCTACATGATCAAATTCTCCTGCTCAAAAGATACACCCATAGAATAATCTTAGAAAAAAAAAAAAATCGAAATAAACTTTTTACGCAGTGGAAAAAACTTATGCCTCAAGATTATTGACTAGAGACGAGTTGAAAGGGTAGATCAAAGTGTAGTAAAAATCAAAATGCAATTTTTTTTAAAATATAATTATTTAGTAATTTCTATGTGGTTATCAAAATTTTAGACTAAAAAAATCAAACTAGCTAGGTGTTTTGAACAACAAAGTAGATGCACAATGTGCTCCCGCAGAAGTATAATATATGCGCATTTTCCACAACTCTCTTCTTAACCATGCAAAAAGTAAGCTGTGTAAAAAGTGGGAAATCATCATACAATTAGCCCAAATCTGACTTTTCTACTACCGTGATCCAAAATTTCATCCAAAGCAATGTAAAATTTATAAATGATTGCCAAGTTGAAGTTTGGTGCAATTAAATTTGTAATGATTGCATTTTTAAATTTCGAGAATAAAAAGAAAGGTTTAGGTTAAAAGTTATTTGAACTTCAATTTTGCAAAATTTATCATCTCTCTCTCTCTCTCTCTGTTCAATATTAACTGCTCTCTGTCTCTCTCTTCTCAATGTTAACTGCAACATTTAATACTAAAGGATTAATAAGCCGATGAACGAAGGACACGTTGATCGTATTTTACACTTTAGAAACTTATATTTATGTTATTAAATTTTTTAAATCTTATTCCAAAAGTAATTTAAAGTAAGAAATAATAATTTATCCTATTATGTGATTATGTTTGAGAATGTAACTTTTGAGATTGCCATTTTTTATACCCATAGTGCATGTGTGAGGCACTCACACGCATATGCACACCTTTATAACTGGTGTTTCATAGGTTGGACTACGGCTCTGACTCATCAGGGGGCCGGAGCCCTAGTCCATGGGCCCTTGTGTGACATGGGGATATCGGATAAATTTTTAATATGAAAGTTTAAAAGTTATGAAAAGATGGGAGGACCAAGTGTTACTAGGTATTTTTGGCATGGAATCGCTACTTTCGGTCCAAATAGACTTGAAGAAGTCAGTCAGTTTAGCAATCTTTTAAAAGAAAATTTATCTAAATACACATAAGAAATGAATTAGTTAACATTTTACATATTTTTTTTTTATTCAACTTCAAAGTACCTATCAAAATATAGATAATTAGATAATCATGTCTTGGAGTAGTTGTAGAAGGGTAAAGCATTAAATAGTTGATATGTGAAATGCTATTTTAGAAGTGTCAGTGAGAGATTGAAATCTAGTACAACGAAATAAAGTTATTAAAAACAAAAACTATAGAAAACTCAAAAAACCATGGAGAAATCTCAAAAGGTTTAAATAACCAAGAAAGAAACACATATTTTGAAGTAGGAATCATGAGTTGGTCAAAAACATTAAAGGAATGGGGTGGTGGTAGAAGGATTTTATGAGTGATTGCAGGAGATGATTAAGGAAGCAATTAAGATACTTGGTGCATGTTTTGTCTTCTTATACAGCTGACTAGTCAGCCATAAATTACCAAAAATGACCTCTAGTGTACCTCATTAGGTGAATAGGGCACTTTGGTAAGATTCCCCAGTTTTTTAAATTATATTATAAAGAAAGATCATCGACGGCGCAGATTTAGTCCTAGATGCTTGGCATACGGATTGATTCCTTTAACGCTCAATGGACGGCTAAGCTTTACCGATGCTATATCCTCGAATCCCTACCCTTTATACAATATATATAGTAAAACTACAACCGTCCATTTAATAAGGGGATCGAGATCGAGTGGGGTAATAAGCAAAGCGTAAATCTCATTCAACTAATTCGATAGTCCAATAATCATTAGTTAGAAGAAAAAAATAATGAAATCAATTTCATTTAGTTCGATCAGTCAAAACCAATCAAATGAAATATTGATTTTAATCTTTGGACGCTAACTAAAATCACCGGTCGGCAACTCGTTCCGATAAGGCCTGATTTTAGAGCCAATCAAGCCGCCCACCCTGCGTGAGCCCGATAATGTCAACGGTGCATATGACAACACGTGTCGCCACTATGTGAGCCCAATGTGATCACGTGGCATTATTTTATTACACAACATGCATTAGTCCTTTTCTTGCCCTTTTTACCGAAATTCTTTCGTATATTACAGATGGGACTCGTCAAAGGCCCTCCTCTTCTCCCATTATTTCAAATACTGTCCATATGGAATTCCTATAATTTTCATCAAGCATAAAATCCTATATTGCTCAAGTTTTAGGACCCCACATACTAAAGTTGTATTTCTATAGTAATTTGATTTTCTAGCCTATGTGATTTGTAAATCTTGATAGCATATTTTATGAGAATTCGGATCAATGTCATCAGAATCGGGCCACAGTTACCGAACAAGCTATGACATGCATATTGCACCCAAAATTTTTGCAAGGGACTTTCGTAGGAGGCCCATCTACACCTGGACTACGAAGACTATATGGGATATTGTCTAACAAGTTATGTCCCATGCACTTCTATTTTTCAATGCAGTTTGGTTGGATTTTTATGATTTGGACTAGCTTTTAGGGTTTTTTTTGGGTAGATCAATGGGGATTACGACCCCCTACTTATTTAGGAAAAAATCAATTTTGTGAAAGTGTTAGTGAGAATGGAGGTCATGCCTTTTTAATTGGCGCTTAGATATTACTACGACCATAGCCCCAACCCTAGGTGAAGCCAGTTAAAAAACTTCACAACATCCATTTGGTTTTGATAATGATGTTTTAGGCCTTGTTTAGATGGACCATTCGACAATATCATGCCGATTTTTACCAAGTTGGGTGGGAACAATTTTACAGCATGTATGTCTCTATCCCTTTTCTCAATAGGAGTGTGTTGGAAAATGCCGCAAAACTAGGGCTATTTTTAATAATGGGATTGCATACTATAAGATAATTTATTTTTAATACAAGGATTACAATCATTTTTATCTATTAGATATGAAATTCAATATATGAAAGTATGTCACAATGTTAGACAAATTTTATTTTTGGACTTTGTGGCAATCAATGATGCATCCTAAAGCACCTAATTTCAAATCTAATGGTCAAAGATGATTGTGACCTCCTTGTATTAAAAGTAAATAGCCTCCTTATATACATTTTCCTCTAATAGTAGCCAAAGAAAAATTACATACTTTTAAAATGTTATCCGGTGAAAAGTTCTAAAGGTGCTATTCAACCTGGCCCTAAAATGGCCAAAATATAAAGTTTTAGACCCGGATAAAGTTATATTTTACATAAGTTTCAAGCATTTTCGTCTAAAAAGTAAGTTTCTCATTTTCATTTATCTATTTGGATTTTTTCTCGGTCACTAAAAGCATATTTTTGCACTACTTCTAATAAAAGTAAAATCTAGCATAGCAAATAATCTATTAAAAACCATTAATAAAGGTCAGAATAAGGTTATTATGTTAAGAGTTGGGAGTATTAATCGGGGAGAAATAGGGTATATTACCATAACTCATTATTACTTTTAGAAATATGTATCTAATTTATTGATTTGAATATCACCTATTTTTAACTATTCTAACTCATGTTCACCTGTATCTCAACCGAAATTATTTTTTTTTTGTAAAAATAGGTAATAAAATAGTCCATTTATCTTTTGAATTTTGATATGCTTGTTTCATAATAACAACAAGAAAATCTGTCAAAAAACACTTCTTATTTTAACTATTTACCATTTTATTCATTTTTTTTATTTAATTAAAAAACTCTTATGAAAACACAGATGGTCATGGATGGATTGATTAAAAATCGGAGCAAGGGTATTTCCCTAATTTCTGTAAGATTTTTGGGTGTTTTACCAGGTTGCCCTTTTCCTTTATTTATAAGCGCAACATCCCGTCCGCGAAAGATTTACGGCTTTCTCTACAGTCTCAACTCTCGACTGTCCTCTTCGAACCAGGGGCTAAGTTAGAGAGAGAGAGAGAGAGAGAGTGAAAAATAGGGTGGAGATTTGAGAGAGAGAAAGAGGAGGGCTGAGTTAGAGAGAGAAAGCAGCTTTGGAGAGGAATGAGAAGGCTAAGTTAGAGGGAGAAAGAGGCAAGCCAAGAGAAATCTTAGAGAGAGAGAAACCTGCAAGAATGTACGTCAAGTCAAAGGATCTGTCGTAAATGGGAACCCTGGCATCTTGACAAGGTACTTGGTCTCCTTCCTTCAAATTCTCGCTCCTCCTCTTATCTGCTAGGGTTTTGCAACTCTTATGAGCTATGAATTTCTGCTGTATTTCTTGAACTTAATCTCTTATTATGGAAATCGGGCAATGTGTGTTGAGTATGCTCGTTAAGGTGTAGGGATTTGCCCTGGTTTGATCTGTTTATAGGAAGAATCAATTTTCTGGAAGGAGCACTGGAATCGCTGCAAAATGAGACTGACACGAGGTTTTCCCTTTGCGTAGCTGTGGAAAATGAGTATTTAGTTAGTACTGGTGCATTTCGTTTAGGAGTGTGTATCTAGTTGGTATGCCAAGGAAACGATTCATACCGAAAGGAATATGAGATGCATCTTCACATTATTGAAATGCCAGATTTATCTCCAAAACGAGATTTAGCGAGGCTTGTGAAAAAAGAGCCTGAATATTAGTGGATGCTGATATATTTTTACCAGATTTGAACGGTTAATACGAGTTTTTGGTTGGGAAAAGTGCGAAAAGTTCTTTAGAATGGAACAAATATGTGGCATTTCTTGCCAGATTTAGTTCAGGAAAGAGTTCTAACAAAGTTTCGAAGTGACAATCTGACGTTGTGTTTTCAAGATCAAGCAATATGCGGTTTAGGCGAACTAGAAACAAGGAGTCCATAGCCCTTTTTGAAGGAATGATTTGAAGCAAGACAGTGGGTTTTCTTTCCCAGCTTTCAGTGGTAATTGTAGTTCGAGTTTGAATCAGCCACACTGTGAAATTGTTTGCAATGCATGCGTTAGATTCTATTCAGTTAGATTGAAGTATTTTTTGGATGTGTCTTTTCATGGAATTTGTTAGACAGGTGTTGTCTCCTTTTGTGTGGGGCATTGATATGCATAAGATCATAGGATTTAGCATTGGTTCTGAAGTTATTTTTGACTTATTTCCTGAATGTGAGTGATGATTGTTTAGAGTTGAAGACTTTCGTTTCGTGACATCATATCTGACTTTTCTATTTCCTGAAATTTCCAGATATTATGGTGGTGGTGTTCTTATATGAGATGTGGCATGTTGCTAGAAATCTAGGGGGATTATTCTGCAGAATAGATCTATTTTGTGCTTTATATTTTATCTAAAGTTAAACATTTTCTCACTGATTTGAGAAGTACCAGGTTCATTGATGCCATTGTGTGGAGGCATACAAGACTCTCTTTGTTATTGAGTAATTGTCGTTATAGATATCACTTAGGATGCGTTTAAGATATGATCGTGTTAAATTTGGTCCTTTTTTTTTGAAAAATAATTTGGTCTAAATTTGTTGATGTGTAATTTTTTATAAATCACAGAATATCGGGAATAATAACAAATTGAATGCAATGAACATTGGCATTGTGTGGCTAATTGAGCTGTACTGTGCAGGTCCGATCTTATTTTGGTGACATCTTTCTGGGGAATGCTGGGGAAACATGGCCATGATGCTTTGGGTGAATGGAGTATACGTTTAGACTTTGTTTAGCTGTCCTTATATAGAGTCTAAATCCTTTTTGAAGATGCATTGCACAATAACGGCAGATTCCCCCTTGGATTATGCTGCCTTTCAATTTTCACCGAAACGCACAAGGTTGGTTTTTTCTATGTCTATTTATGGTATGAGATTTAGATGAGTAGGCCTTGCTCTGTGTACATGTTATTATATTGGATCGATTTTGTCCTTTCTCTTTCCACACTAAACAGGGTGTTAACACATACATATTACTTTCATTTTTATGTTTGATTTGGTCTGGGGTTCAACAATGAGAAATATTCATTGGCATACATGTCATTTATATATGTCTTTTTCCTTTACCAATACAATTTTTTTGTTTGCAGTTATGAGGCATATGTTTTTGGAGAAGGGAAGTCAGAGAAACTTGCTGAGGGACCTTTTGGGCCTCTAGCGGCGCACTTGCCTGCCGTGAAAGAGCAGATAGAAGGATCTGAGAATGTCATCAGGTTGCAGCTACCTGAGAGCCTAAGTGGTGCGTCATGGTTCACGAAGTGCACTTTGTATAGGTCTGTTTTTTTAGGATCTATTGCCTTCTTTCATTTTCATTTCATGTAGAAATAATAGTCATGATTTTTCACTTCAAATATTAGTTGAATTTAAATATTCTCTTGTAAGTTCCTTGTCGTTTTGTGTAGGTTCCTGCATATTGTAGGGAAACCTGAGGTGCTGAGGAAAGCGGGTGCTATTGAAAATGAGATGGCACAGTTGGAGGAGGCAAGAAGGTTCCATCTCTCTCTTTATGCGAAGGTACAGTGATGTGCATTTCCAAATTTCCCAGCATACATTTGTATGTTGTTGGAACTAATGAAAGATGCATTATATGTTATACAGGGTGGACAAGATCATGCGTCAAATGGGGCCACTGGTATGTCGTTAGGAGAACTGCAATTGTATTTGATTGATAACCACCGGAAATATACATTTCTCAAAACAAAAACCACGGGGAATATTTATTATCATTGTTAGAAGGGTGCGGTTTATATAGAGCCTAGGTTCTAAACAATCAAATTAGAGCCTACCTTCAAATAGTGTTGAGAAATGTGGTTTCAATAATGGAAATCTTTTTGATAGCCTTATAATAAATTTTCATCTTTATTTATAAAGTTTAGAGCTTTAAAAATAGTGTGGATCGAGAGATCTATGGAAATTGAAAATCTTGAAAATTGACGGTCCAAAAATGCATTACAAAATACACTATTTCTAAAATTTGAAATCTATTTTTTTCTCACATCCATGCATCTTGATGTTGAGATGGTTAATTTGGGGGTGACCTGACAAAACATAACATAAGCTAAAAAAAATTGAAAGGGGGGTTTTGGGGCGGACCTAACTAAACATGACATAAGCTAAAAAGATACGTTAAAAAAAATGAAAGGGGGGTATTAGGGGTGGATCGGGCTGGCACCATTCCCTCCTAGAACCAGTTTGGTTATGGTTGATTCCCTGTCCAGACTGGCAATTCCGAATCTGGATCACCAGTTTTTAAAACTGTATTCTCATCTCTTTCATAAGTGCCATTGTATTGCACTGACATTGTTTACGTTAATTGTTGGTAGATGATTTAACTTACCATACATTTTTTAGGCTGATTGCATCCATACTCTTTTTGTTAGATGCATCTCTCTTGTTATGAGAGTCTACGTCTTTTGTTTTATTGTCTGGACTTGCTCAACAAGGTTTCAACAATAGAATGTCGCCCGATCAAACTGCCCGAAGTGTTTATCGTGTTAACAATATCTTGTTCTTATTGTATGATTTCTCTGGTCATTAATGATTCCTCTTTGCTTGCTTTAATAGATGTAAGCTGCTCGTCTGATGCTACCAAGTGAGTATCTTTTGATTACCTTTTTTTTTGTTTGGTGATATGTTCATGGCTTTACTGATGACAGTGAATGCTGCCAGGAATGAACTACTGCGAGCAATGGATGTGCGTCTCCTTACATTAAGAGGAGAACTGATTGATGCTTTCAATCTAGCAGCTGGAACTGCATGTTCCTTTGGACAAATTGCTCATCTAGTAGAATTTGCTCAGCATTTTGGAGCAACAGATTTAAGGTAAAAATCTCGCCGGTTCCTGTCTGCCTCCAGTTACTCAAATTTGAATTTCTGGTAATTAGCATCCTTTTTTAAGTTGATTCATTGATGGTGTTCATTGGGACCATATTTCCATATCATGGAAATGATATGGAAATAATTCATATATCTTGCATTTTGGGGTCTTGCAGGAACTCATTTTTGAAGTACTTAGCTCTGAGCGAAAACAACCAAGCAGGTGATTCAGAAAAGAATGATACCCTTAGTGTCATGGAAAAATCAGATATCCATGCAACAAATGAATTTGAGCAAAGATCATTTGGTTCTCTTGCACCAGCTGGAAAACTCCAGGAGGGAGAAATGTATCCAAGATGTGGAGTATCTCCAGCAAAAATTGCAGAAGTTGAGCGCAAAAGTCCAACTGAAAGTGAAGAATCCTCTAATTCAAGTGAAGAAGAAAGGTCACCTGTGGAAAGAAGCCGGCCTATGATAAGGTCTGCATCCCCGAGAAGGTCAGCGTCACCAATGCGTCGAATCCAAATAGGGAGATCAGGATCTCGGCGCTCCACTGCCCTCACCATTAAAAGCCTCAGTTATTTCCCGACAAAAGAAAGGATATCGGTGAGCCGAGAAACTGGCGATGCAAGTGGGGATGAAGAAGCAGCAGATCAGCCCATAAAGAAGCCCGATAATTTGGTGAGGAGGATGAGTGTCCAAGATGCCATCAATCTCTTTGAGAGTAAACAAAGAGATTTGAGCTCGGATATTCAGAAACGGAGGGCATCGACAGAGACAGGAGGAACATCTCTGAGTGCTAACAAGGCTGTGTTGAGGAGATGGAGTGCTGGAATGGGAGATAGTGCCACACAATGTGAAACCTCTAACCAAGAGGTTTTCTCAACCACTCAAGAAGTAAAAAATGATTTGGAAGAGCAGAAAGAAACTGGGGCTCCAACTGATTTTGAGGTAGTGTTCAATCCTGGGAAGCAAGATATGGTTAAGGCTACTGAAACAGTAAGTGATTTTACAGTGCAGAACAACGTTTCTGATGCTGGTGATTCTCCAAAGCCCCAAGACGCACTAACTCAAAAAACTGATTCGGCAGAATGGAATCGACAAAAGGAAGCAGAGTTGAACCAGATGTTGATGAAGATGATGGGGAGCCGGCCAATGGGTCATCAAAATCAGATTGGAACCAATAGAAACCAGGATCTTCTTGGTGAACAAAATAGGGGTTTCTATGATCATTACAAGGAGAAGAGAGATGAGAGGCTTAGAGGGGAGAATGCTGGGAAAAGAGCGGAGAGAGAAGCCAAGTTCAGAGCAATGCAAGAGGCATTGGAACAAAGGAAAGCAGAGATGGCGAGTAAGAGCACAGGTCCCTCTGCCAAAACTGGCACCCCTACTTATGCTACAAAATCTCAGAGAAACTCATCACCTTCAATGCAACAACCCAAGAGGGAGGTTTCGAAACCAGGTCCCATAAAGAAGGCATCTCCAAGGGCCTCACCAGTGACCTCTACACGTGGTGCTACACAACAGTTGGCTTCGCCTAGAACTATTGCCCCTAATAAAACGTCTACTACATCTGCCACTACACCAACACGCCGGAAAAATCAATCTACACCACCGTCTGTAGCGAAACCTGGGCGGAAAATAGAGAGAGAGCCTCAACCCACAAAAGCCGTGGTTGCTCGAAAAGAAGCTCAGACTGATAGTACCAAGCGGGGCTTGAAAAGCAAGATGGAGAAGGAGAAACCATCAGGAGTGAGAAAGAGTGTTCATGGTGTGATTGCTGCAAAGGCTTCACCTGATTCTGCAACTGCTCAAGCTAAGCCAAGCTTTTACAGTAAGGTTACCAAGAAGAGCAGCGTAGTGCCTCTTGAGTCAAAGCCTTTCTTGAGGAAAGGGGCTGGTATTGGGCCAGGCATTAGCAAGACAAAAGGTTCGACCCAAACTGATGATCTATCAAAAAGCCCTGAAACTCCAGCACAACCCCAGGTGACAACAGTGCCTACTATCGATCAAGTCGAGGCTCCCCTATTGCCAGATCCAGGAGAAGCCCAAGCAAGAACCCTTCCTCCGGAACCCATACTTCCTCCAAATGAACCCGATCCTATGCCTGAGCTGGAGCCCGAACCTGAGCCTGAGAAACCTCTTAATAGCAGTCATAATTTTGAAAAATTGGCCATTTCAGACCATTATTCATCTGTTACAAAAAATAAGGGAGGTGAAGCTGTTCAATCAGTGGAAGAGATCACTCCTTATAAGGCTGACGAGGACGTGGCAGCTGCCCTGTGGGCTGAGCCTGAGCCAGAACCCCCTGTGGCTTGTGATACCAGCCCAAAGGTTATGGCAAATCGGGGAGCTTTTGGGCCTGCAATTTCAAGTCCACGTGTTCGTCACTCTTTATCACAGATGCTTAGGGCTGATAGCGGTGAGGCTGACCTCATTAGTGAGTGGGGCAATGCAGAGAACCCACCGGCTATTGTGTATCAAAAAGATGCCCCCAAAGGGTTAAAGAGGTTGCTTAAGTTTGCGAGGAAGAGTCGTAATGAGAGCATAGCGAGTGGGTTGGCTAGCCCTTCGGTGGGCTCTGAGGGGGAAGATGATGGAGAGGAGGCAAAGGGAGTGGGGAAGAGGCATTTGGATGCGATGGCACTGAGGAAGTCCGCGGTGCAAGGAAGGGGGTTTGGGTTCGATAAGGCGGTTTTTAATGAGAGTTTTGACAGTGGGAGTTCGAGCAAAAGGTCTGTGGATTACCGTGGAGCCCACGATCTTATGCAGGGTAAGCAACTTCTCTCTCTCTCTCCCTGTCTCTCTCTCTCTCCTGCCAGGTGAGAATTCAGACTTAGTTTAGAACTAGTAATCGATGTTAAAAAGATCGACTCGGCCAAGGTACTCAGACCCTGGCCGTGGCGAGTAACTCGGCCGAGTTCATGTCATGTTTAAAAAAAAAAATAACAAAGGTAATTTAGGTTTCTATATAATAAGGTACCCATTCTTAGCATCATTATCCAAGTAGCGTATTGGTAAAATGGTTGGAGACTTAGTAAGAGGTTGCAGGATCAAAACTTGTCAATTGTGGATGTCATTTTATGACCGCATACTTTTTTAATTAAAAAAAAGTAACCCATATTTTTTAATAATATGACTGCGTACTTTTTTAATTAAAACAAGGAACCTGTATTTTTTAATAAAAGAAAGGAACTCATTTTTTTAAATTTAAAAAAGGAACCAGTATTTTTTAATAAAAGAAACTCATTTTGGGAGGATTTGAACCAAATTGTGATTGCGTATTTTATTAATAAAAAAGAGGCGTATTTTATTAATAAAAAAGAGGTACTCCATTGGGAAGATTCAAAATAAAAAAGAGGTACTCCATTGCGAGGATTCAAACCAAAAACACATGACTGCAGAAACATGCGTAATACCCAATAAACTAATTAGAAGCTCAATGAACAAAGTTGTGGATGCATTATAAATATAAAAAACCGGAACGTGGTACTCAGCCTCGCCCATAGGCCGTGGCCGAGTAACTTGGCCGAGTCTGAGTCTCCTCGGCCGAGTCTAGAAAGGCTGCTAGTGATTCTACTATTTGGAATATGGCCATCTGACCAATTAGAGCCCTATTTAATGGTCCGTGGGTCTTGTTATGGAGCTAGTGTTGGAACATGCAATTTAGGGAGAACTCTGTCAAGGAACTGGTGAAAGTTTTTCTTGAGTTATTATTCTGAGCTTTTCAATTTGATTGAGCGAATTCCAGTGATAGTTGATCATATACAGTGGATTCAAAAATATTTTATACTGCTATATAATCAGATTATTTCTTTAAAATTTCTTGCTATGGCTGTCTGACATTCTTATGATAGCTGCTGTATAATCTGCTCTAGTCTGGTTACACCCTTTAACTATGGGCCTTTGGCCAAAATTGGCAGGATTTTGAACTGACTTCTTATGAAAACAATCTGTTATACCATTCTTATTGAATTATGCCTAGACTTTTCCATTTCTATAGCATGATATTGGTTTGAGTGTTTACTGATGTCTGTTCCTTTTTCAGCTCAAACGCACATGGGAAGCTTTGCTGGCCAGAACTCTTCACTAAACCAGACAACAGCTTCAACTAAAGGTTAGTTATCCTTACAACGTCCTCTTAAACGCTCAAAGTTGTGTCCCTTCTCTTTCAAAATCCTATATTGTACATAGCTATCTGTAAGAAGGAATAAAATGAAGGAAGATACTACATGACGCCTATAGGAAAAAATTAATAGTGATTTCGTCTACCTTCATCACCGTCCAAAGTTCATCGCACGGTCACAGTTGTCCGGTAGTGTTTCATTTTTCATTTTTTTTTACAAATCGGAAAGATCTGAAATTTAGAGTGTGTGTTCATCTAAATAGACGAATCTATAAAAAATGTCAAAAAAATATTTTACATGAAATAAATTGATCAAAATACTCCCGAAATGTTTTAGGGGTATTTTGGTTAATTTTTTTTGAGAATTACTTTTTTTATATTTTTATTAGGTGCGCCTCACTAAGATGTAGACACGCTCAAATTTCAGATCATTCTAATTTGTAGAAAAAAAATAAAAATTAAAACACAATCAAACAATCGTGACTATGCGATGAATTTTGGACGGTGATGAGGGTAGACGAAATCACTGTTCATTTTCGCTTATAGGCGTTGGGAAGACTTTTCCTAAAATGAAAGATCCGTGTATAGTGACGCGTTAATTTTAATTCAACTATGGATGCCAGCTTTCTCATTGGAGGAAAGCTTGAAAGGCATGTGGCTTATTATGTCGGAAAAGTATACAAAGAGACCATTTACTTTTAGTACAAGGAGGTCACAATCACTCTTGTCCGTCATATTTCATCAGGTGGTTCTAAGCATTGTTAGAAAAACCGGCTGGTTAGAACTGGAACCGGTCGGTTAGCTCGGAACCATTAGGGTTCTGAGTCTGGTTAGGGGCAGTTTTGCTGATCTCCTAGCCTAGGGTACAACCCCAAAAGTTTTCAGGCCCAAAACCAGCCGGTTAGGGGTTGAACCGGCCGTGTTTTGGTCAAATCGGCTGGTTTTTCAACTAACCGTCCGGTTAGTGGATATAACGGGTTTTATAAACAAATAACGATATAGTTAAAGTAATGCCCATTATTTTTAATTGAAGCTGTTATTTGATGCAAGAATTCATAGGTTGATTTTTTCCATTTTTTTTTTTTTTTCCTACCATTTTTTGGCGTTTTTCATGCTTTATGGCCGTAAAACACTATTTATTGTCTGTAAAACAAGCAAATTCGAATCCAACATTGAAGATCAAGAGATTTTGTGGATTGTAATGACGGATTTTCACGCCTTTTGAAATTTCCGCCATTTCATCAATACCACCTTCGATAGCTAATGGTTTTTGCTGAAATTTTAGGGTTTTTAATCCTAATCAAGTCATCTATCATATATCTCTTTCAATTTGTTCAAAAAACAAAAGATTGGGGGTTGATTTTGGCCCGAAGAGTTGTTGCCCGAAGAATCTGTGTTCGATCCAAAAAACAGATTTTGGATCGATTTTTTTGTCGTTTTTTATCAAATTGATTTGTGTATTTTGATCATCAAGGCTTCATCTAAAACATAAACTAGGTTTGCTTATTTGTTATTGAGTAAATATTTTTATATAAATTTTTTTCTTGCTCGATTATGCAGATCTGAATTTTCCACGATTTTTCCAATTAGATGGAAAAATACCGAATATTTTTTATGATTTTTGGTGCATTTGAAAGGGTGATCGAAGCTTTTACCGTGCTTGTGTGTTGATTGTTCGATTATCCAAAATTGAGGGCTGTTTCTTGCTTGAAATGTTGCTCAATTTTACGAGTTTTTGAGAAATAGATTTTTCAAAAAATAAATAAATTTTACTTTATAAATTTATTATTTTTGATGAATATGGGAACTGTTTTTTTTATTTTTCTTAATAAAATAATGTTTTTTGATAAAATTATTTATTTTGATTAAAAGATGTTGTTTTGATTTATATGACAAAACCTTTATGTGTCGGCCTCTCTACCTTGTGACATCTTGTGTTTTACAAATGAAATTCTAGACGAACATGTAAAAGTTGGTGGATCAATTTCCTTTCCTTTGTTTCTAATTGTGATTAGCAGTATCTGGAGTGCATGTTTACACTGGGTAGTATATTTGCGGTAAGGTGTTGGAAACTTATTATCAGGCTTCTTTCTAGGAAACAAAAAGATTTATGTGACCTGCTTGGGATAATGTACATGACCATAGTATTCAAATATTAATTGATAAAAAGTTGTTTCAATACTTTGTTTTGTAAGATAAATGTATGTAATAAGATATTATAAGTTCAATCTAAGTTTTTCTATTTTTTATTTTATTTTTTTGGGAGTTTTTGACCCACTTAAAAAAAAAATCTACTTGACTGGTTAGTCTCGCTGTTTGAAAAAGCGGACCACCCAGCGCTTAGGCGGCCGCTTGTACCCATCTAGGCGGCCGCCCAGGGCTTGCATCCCCCAGGGGCGGGGCGGAAATACGGCTCTTTGAGGGTATTTTTGGGTCATTTTTTTAATACTAAAGGGTGAAAATTGTGGGTTTTAGGTTGATTTGAAGCCTAAAATTTTTTTAATACTAAAGGGTAAAATTGTGGGTTTTAGGTTTATTAGAGGCTATTTTAGAGAGAGAAAACCAAAAAAAAATTCTACTAGGCCATCCAAGTTCTGTGCACCTGTCTAGACGCTGCTCCCAGCCCCATGTTCGTTTAACCGTTTGGGTTTGATTTTGCAAATACTGGTTCTAGGTCAACCGTTTCGGTTCGATTTTGCGAATACTGGTTCTAAGTGTCATAGACCAGAATTTCACTTCAAAACGTACCCCAAGCCAATTCAATTTGACATCTAAAGGCTATGAGTGATTATGGCCTCTTTGTAATAATGGTAAATGGTCTCATAGTATACAATCCCTATTATATTTGTGTGACTGCGAGAAATTAGCTAGTTTTTTATTTTTTTTTTCGTTTTTGTGATTCTTTTCACTTATTGTTTGATTGATCACTTCATCTGCTATTAAATTTTCCTTTTTTTTTTATTGTGATCCATTTCACTTAATATTTTCCTTTTTATCTGGATTTTCCTAGCCTTTTAAGCTTCAGAATAATTGCTGAGAGGTATAGACTGACAACTATGGATGCAGGAAGCCGATCGTTCTTTTCACTGTCAACATTTAGGAGCAAAGGAAGTGAAGCAAAGACCCGTTGATACCTAATAGACAGATGCATATCATGCAAATGAGAAAATGTTATAGGTTAACACCTCATACTCTCTCTCTGGGATAAGCAAAAAGGTCATGCTCTCTCTCTTGCTCGCAGAGATGCCAAATTTAACGTTGTTTTCTTAATGGACACGGTTTCCATGCGGCCAGCCCGCTTATTGTAGAAATGCGGGCTTGGCACTAAATATATCTTTGACATGGAGATCGTGAATATGAAAAAAGAAAATTTGAAAACTAGAAATAATTAGTATATTGAGAAAACATTTGGACCGTTCGTTACACTTGTTTTTAGATGGACCACCTATTTGCATCCATCTTAAAGATGGATGCTTTATACCTCTGGACCGCATATTGTAGAAATGCAGTCCACCATGAAACCATTTCCCTTTCTTTATAGGTACTTTGTTTGCTGTTTAAATGCCTGATATCCAGAATTTTATTTATTGCTGATACGCGGGATTAGATGGTTGTAAAAGCAGCATATAGAGAAGACAAATCAAGTGAGGCCCCCCGCAAGCAACCATGATTTAGATACAGGCCAAACGAGATACACTGCTCTCTCTCTCTCTCTCTCTCTCTCTCTCTCTCTCAATCTCTCTAATTTTTCGGCTTTTTGTTTTGCCTCATCTTTTTGAGCTTTCCATGCCCATTCGTCCTATATGTTATATAGATCTGAGCCTCTTCTGTACATGCATTGTACCCAGTTCTACCTCATGCAAGACATAGCCAACTATGTGTTCATGCTATAGGGCTAACCAACAGTTTGTGATATGTATTCTTTTCCTTTTAATTTATTCTCCTGAAATGTGGTTCATGATTGGAGCATATAAGTGATATTTATGAAAGATGATACTCTGTCAAGCAAATTATCTTTCTTTTTTGCTAGCCTTTATCAAGCAAATAATCAACTAATTATTATTAACGTTAACCAGAGGGAACATTAATAAATAACTGAGACCAATTTGGTCGAATTTCAATAGAATATAATGTATAGCTAATGTTATCCATTGTACATACTGTACATGCCAATTTCCACTACACGCTTTGTTGATTAGGGAAGGCTTTGCCTTGAGGATTCACTAGAGGATGCAGCCTTGGACTTTCCGGGCTTGAGGATTTGAAAGGAGCATAGGAGGCTTGTGTCCACATGCATCATGGCCCCTGCATTATTGAACTCTCCACAATAATTTGGTGCTGAGAATATGGTGACGAGGCGCCTATCTGCGAAGAACTCGTACCCATCTTCAACCACCTGGCAAAAGTTTCTTTATATGTCTAGCTAAATGCAATAATATAAAAGTGAATATATAATATGAATGTTATGTTTGCAATAATTGCATAACCAAATTTTAGAAGTAAAAAACTATGATCTAGTGATAAACCCTAGGGCAAGGTTACACAATTGATCTATATTGCAGGGGAAGAGAACAATTGTAGTGTGCCTTCATAAAGATGAGCAACAAACCCCAGTTGATCTTATATGTTCAAATTGTTGAGATGTGAGATTGATGACAATACTCTTTTCACTAAAAAGATATCTATTCTTCAGCTTAGTTAAAGAACTTGGGTGTGGCATAAGGAGGCTTTACTGGTCACTTGCACAGCTCAAGTGAGATCTACTTACCATAGATACAGTGAGTGATTAGAAATGATCAAAATAGTGATGTGATCTCTCATTGGATGTGGCCTACACTGTCTGCTAGGATGAGGTATTCAACCCTCTTGGATCTTCACTGAAAATCTCATACGATGACTTATTATGAAATCTGAGCATATGGAGAGAGAACCTGATCAGTGAACTAACACATACCTGGTGAGCTCGGCATATGAGGTCGAGATCATGCTTCTCCAAAAACTCTGCCACCTTGTCGGCCCCAAATGTGTAGGAAACCCCCCTATCATTCTCACCCCACCCCTTGATCTCTCTGTCAGGATCAGCCCATAGCAAATCACATAGCAAACCCTGATCAGGCACATCAACTGGCCTCTCAATGCTCCTAATTTGGTCCAAGCTCTCCAGCTCCGGTGATAAACCACCATGCATACATAATATCTTATCATCGATGACGGCTGCCACCGGCAAGCAATTGAAGCAATCGGTGAAAACTTTCCAAAGTCTCACACTGAACCTGCGCTTGCACTCGTCATAGAAGCCATAGATCCTGTTAATAGATGCACATTCGTGGTTTCCTCGAAGGAGGAAGAAGTTGTCCGGGAATTTGATTTTGTATGAGAGGAGAAGGCAAATGGTCTCGATGCTTTGCTTGCCTCTGTCGACATAGTCACCAAGGAAGAGGTAGTTGGCGTCAGGGGGGAAGCCACCATACTCAAAGAGACGCAGTAGATCAGGGTATTGCCCATGTATGTCACCTGAAATAGGAAAAGCTTTTGGTTAGTCCGCCAACTCATGTTTCCACCCCTTGTTTTCAAGGGTTTCAGGACAACTCACCCTACTTTGCAATTCCATTTTGTCTTAAATCCATGATTATGGAGCTCCAAAAATACTGTAGATCTGATATTCTTTGAAGAATGGATATGGACGGTCCAAAAGAAATGGTATGAATGGAACATTTATTAAGGTTCAAAATTCATTCATGTTTCGTTAGATTTATGATTGTGGTAGTTGAAATTATATGTGTGTAAAGCTTTGGATTCTCACCCATCTCCAAGATGGATTTTTGAAGGGGTAGATCTGGACTCACCTACCCCTACCAATTATACAAGTCCGTGCCCGAGGAAATGACTACTAATTCAGCCATTAGCACCTAATTCCCGAGGAAATGACTACTAATGCAGCCATTAGCACCTACTAATTCCAGTTGGGGGCTCTCTGGTCTGGTTACTACACCAGTTACAACCAATTAATTGGAGAAAATAGAAATTATGATTTTTTTCTTGTCTTTTTTGCGGTAATTCAGTGGGAAAGACAGGCCCCAACTTTTTTTTTTTTCAAATAGTTTACTAGTTAGTTTTTCGAAACCGTTAGTGGGGTGGTGTCAAAGGGAATGGAAACACCAACATGGTGACCGACAAGTCAAAGCAAAGAATGGAAACACCAACATGGTGACCGACAAGTCAAAGCAAAGAACCTGATGCTCACAAGTCAAAGCGAAGAACCTGATGCTCACAAAATTGAAGGCGAGCTTTGCTTGTTACCTGATCCTAACATCATCAAACTATGACAAGTCAAAGCAAAGAACCTGATGCTGACAAAATTGAAGGCGAGCGCTAGGTTGTTACCTGATCCTAACAATCATCAAAGTTGGATCAGATTTTAAATTAAAATTTTTGACTAGCGTTTAGTAGTGATTCTCACTGTCATTTTCTGATAAATGCGATCTCTTGATTGTCATTTTCATTTTTTGATAACCGCAACCTTTTTATCCTTTTTTTTTTTTTGGGAAAAATCTTGATGATTATTACGCAAGTTTTGTCTTCCTAGCAACTCCAGGGTTATAGGTAACAAAAATGTGAGCTACAAAAATAGAAATTACATATAGCGATGTGAATAAAGTTGGTAAATTTGCAATCTTGAGCCTGATCTTTATAGAACTCGAGGGAAAATTAGGTTGAACTGACATGAAATGGCATTCTAAAGTATGTAACAAGCAAGAAATGGATCGTCATTTTACTTTTTTTGCCTTGGGTGGATGAATCAGAATGAGAATTGTATCAACTGATGATGAAATGTCTAAAAATATAATGGAGTTACAAAATGTCAAAATCAAGGCCCATGGCATTTAGAAGCTCTATCATCAAATAACAAATGCAGGTAAGCAAAATCAAGATTATATTACTGGGGATTGTATACATGTTATACGACTGTTTGCCTTAGCAACAAGGTCATAATCACCATATAAATTGGGCAATTGGGAATGTCTCATTTCTTCAATAAATCCAAAAGAAAAAAAGGTTCTTAGACTTTGCACATCATCAATGCTACACCTCTAGTCCCCCAATTTCATATATGACGGCTGGAAGGGAATGTGACCTTGTATTAAAGGAAATGGTTTTGTGGTATTAGCTTCCATAATAAAAAACCATTAAAACTGAAATAATATGAAAACCAACATAGTCAACCACTAACTAATCAAGAATCTCTAGATCAAAATGACAATCATGAAATTAAAAGCAAAAAATTGAAATTTTGAAAGAAAAGAAGAATCTGATGATCTCTTACCACAAATGTTGATGGGTGCCTCTAATTCAAGGAGATTAGGCTGGCTCATGAATATTTCCTTTGCAACAATGCATAGCTGTTTGATCTCTGATTCCGTGAGCTTTACCTGCTTGCTGGGCTTCGTCTTCCTGTTCTCTGTTAATCGCCTTATCAGATCATCCAGTAACCCTTCCTCCATTCTCTATAAACTATGAAACCAGATCTTTCTGGCTATTCTAACAAAAGCGGGAGAAGAAAAGCTCGACTCTGATAAACTTGATCTCAGATCGTAAAAGGATTCCTTTCTTTGAGAGTGAGAAACGGTTTTTGGTTGGAGAGAGAGATTGGGTTCTGGTTTTTGCTCTCAGAGTTCTGATTGAAAAGAGAATGGGTTGGGTTAATGGGGGAGGGAGAGCTGCGTCAAAGAAGAGAGAGGGCGTATTTGACGGGCAGCCCTCCCCCTTTTGTGATGGGTTATTGGGGCAGCCATGGAATATGGTTAGCCTTAGTTGCCCGGCTGCCCGCGATTCTTTCTTCCTTCCCACTTCTTTCTCTCTCTTCCCGCCATGTCACTCTCTCTCTGTTGTGCTTTGTTTGCAGTTCTATATTTTCAAATCTAGTTAGAGTTTCGACCAAAACTTCTTTGCAAATGACTACAACAATAACACAAAACAAAGAAAGGCATTTTCTATAAGCGAAAAGTTTCTCTACTTAACAAAGAAAGGCATTTTCTATAAGCGAAAAGTTTCTGGACTTAACAAAGAAAGGCATTTTCTATAAGCGAAAAGTTTCTCTACTTCCCTTACTATACAGTTCCTCCCATCTAGCTCTCTAATTTAGATCAAAGATATATAGTTCCTCCCAACTAGCATTTTGGCCATCTTATTTTATTGCGAATATTTTGTTACAGTTGTGAGTTTAGGGGAGGAGTGGATGTCCAGAATTTGGTGTCAAAATGTTTTGTAAAAAAAATTAAAAATAAAATAATGTAGAGGTGTGCTATCTCAACCGTCCATTCAGAATGGACGGTTGAATAGGGAGAAGTATATAATTTTTAGGGAAATTTGCTTAAAACCCTCAAATATGGACTTTCTAGGCATTTTACCCATGTTTCTAACTTATTTTTCTCCAAAACCAATTTTTATAGCTAAAAACCTCCCAATACAAAAAGTTCAATTTTTGACAAAAATACCCTTCCTGTACATAAGGTACCGAGGTCACTACTATTTGCCGGTCCGGTGTTTAGAAGGGCCAATCCGGCATTGAAGTCACTGTATATGGTTCGGTCCGGTGTTTTGAAGGGGCAGTTCGGCACTGAAATTATTGGAATTGGCCTGGTCTGGCGTTTTGAAGGGCCAGTCTGACGAATATTTCAATGGAGGGTGTGGCCCGGTGTTTGTAAGAGGCCGTCCGGTGATTTATCTGTGTGGTCCGACGTTTGCATGTGGCGGTTCGGGGATTTATGCTATTGGAGGGGCAGTTCGATCCGGCGTTAGTAAGAGACGATCAGGCGATTATATGTGTGGTCTGGCGATTATCTGTGCGGTCCGGCTGTTACATGTGGCAATCAGGGGATTTATGCTATTGGAGAGGCAGTCCATCCGGCGTTTTACAAGTGCGGTCCGGCAATTGATACTGAATTATTGAGGGATCCGGTAATTTTGAGCTACGGTCCAGCGTTTATGTCACTCCTGCTTTTAGCAAACACAATCCGGTGTTTCCTTTAATTGGGATCTGAAAATGATTTTTTATGTACGGGAAGGTATTTTCTCAAAAAAAAAAAAAGACTTTTTGTGTTGGGGGTTTTTAGCTATAAAAGTTAGAAAAAGTTAGACGGATAAAGTGTCTAGAAAGTCCATATTTAGGGATTTTAAGCAATTTTCCCTAATTTTAGGGTTAGAATAGAAAGCTTGCCCCTTTCTACTAAAGTTAATGCATACTTATTGGTAAATTAATATGGTAAGCTCTCTCTCTCCATGGCTAATGAATAGGTTTTTGTTCTCTTTTTTTAGTGCATGAATACTGTCTTTTGGTACATGAATAATTTTATGTCTCTCTTTCCATATTTTTATTTTGAATTTTAAGACAATCATGGGTTCCTTTTCATTAGGGGCTGGAATAAAAAATTAGGTTATCTAGTCTGAAATTTTGAGATTGAGCAAAAATTTAAGCAATGGTCCATGCAGCGTTTCTCTCTCTTAATCATAGTTGGGTGAGAGAGATTTGAACTTTGAGGTCCATTGGTTTCTCACCACTAATATCCTTAAACTAATTTTGTCAAATATCCTTAAAGGCAAATCCATGCCAATTCTGTATTTTTAGAACTAAGAATCCATCCAAAAGCATAATGATATACGAAGAGATTGTATGCTATGCGACCATTTGTCCTATGTACAAGGAGGTTACAAGTACGTTTAGCTTAGATATCAAAATCAATGGTGTGAGGCGTATCATGAAGTTCAATAAAAAAAATTTTAAACTTAGAGGTTAGTCAATAAACTATTTCAACCACCTAATTCGATATTTTATGCACACAAATGATTGTGACCTCCTTATGCCAAAAGTAAATGATCTATTTGTATACTTTCTCATATAAGAATCACCTGAAAAGGTTATTAGGGACCAATCCTTTTAAAGCTATGGCCTAAATTTTGCATAAAATTGCCGTTATGGTGCCAGCAAAACAACAAATTGATTATCTCTTGAAAATTCTAGATTTTATTCCAAGTCCTAAAAACAATATATTTTATAGGATATTATTTGGACCATCAATTTTCAAGTGTTTATAGAAATCTGCATTATTTTTTACTTTCATAGTTGCACCATTTTTAAATGTCTACATAGCTTTGCATCTTTCAATATTCTTAAAATTTGGAAAGAATTAGATCTTTGGTTTTAGGATTTTATTTTCTTGTGAGATTTTGAAGTGCGACTTCACTTTTTTTTTTTTTAAATTTTTGAATTGCATGTCTGTGAACAATCATCCACTCTTTTGCGACTTGACGGTCACATGTTGTTGCTTAAATAAAAACTCTATTTTCTATTTGAGCTTTCGAACTAGGTCAATCATTTGATCTATGATTCATTGGAACAAAAAAGGAATGGCCTTTCTGATGCTCCTGGAGCCTTTTTTTTTAATTGCCCCAATCCCATAGTAATAAGGAAAAATTTTAATATAAGGTTGTTTTAAAATGTAGAATTAAAGATACACTTAAAAAAATTCATCATAAAAAGTTGTTTTAATATTGAAAAACCTTCTTATTGATAATCTCAACATCGAGATGTATGAATATTGAAAAAAAAAAAAGATTTTGAGTCTCAGAAATAGTGCATCTTGCAACACATTATCATGTTCAAAATTTTCATATGTTTATAGATCTAATTGATTTTAACCATTTTTGTAGTTTAAAATTTTATAATTAGATTTCAAAATAGATTTTCAAATAATCTTAAGAATTTTATACCATAATTACATATTATAATAACATTTGGAGGCGTGCCTTAATTGGACTATTTAAGGTTGCAACCTTGCAGAAACCACACCCTAATAAAAGTAATGGGTCAGGTTTGTATAAGCATAGCACCTTAAACAATTAACGTAAGGTGTACCCCCAAATGATTGAAAGATGTTGTTTTAGCTTCAGAAATTATAGTCTTCAAAGTTATTTCATCTCTATTTATAAAATTTAAAATTTCAATAATACTGTGGATTGAGAGTATCTATAAGTGCTTAAAAATCTTGAAATGGATGGTGCAGATTAAATATTACAAGATGCATTATGTTAATCGTTTCTTCTTCTTTTTCTCATCTATATATTTCGAGGTTGATGTGATCAATTGGAGGGTTTTTTTTTGCATCAAAACATCTATTTTCAACGGTGCAGAATATATGTTACATCTTTCTTTGCACCTTCTATAGTATAAGGTGGACACCTCATATAAACCTCTTGCATAGTTCTAACATAAAATCTTTCTTTTCTTTTTTTTGTCATCTATATATTTCGAGGTCGAAGTGATCAATTGGAGGGTGTTTTTTGCATCAGAACATTTTTTTTTCAATGGTGCAGATGATATATTCCATCTTTTTTTTGCACCTGCTATAGTATAAGGTGGACACCACATATAAACCTTTTGCATAGTTCTAACATAAAAGCAAGTTATACTAATGCACTAATGATAAAAGGAAAAAGTTTATATGAGGATGTAACCTCATAATGTAGAACTACGAAAGCCCCTAAAAAATCCATCCGAAAAGGTAGTTTTAATGTTGAAAAACCATTTGATTGATCATCTCGACATCGAGATATATAACTATCAAAAATAAAAATATTTTAAGTCTCAGAAATTATGCATTTTACAACATATTATCTACACCATCCATTTTCAAGATTTTCATATGTTTATAGATCTACTTGATTTTAACCAGTTTTTAAATTAAACATTTTATAATTAGATATAAAAATAGATTTTGAGATTATCCTAAAAACATTTTATATCAAAATTATATATCATGATAAAATTTAAAAATGCACCTTACCTCTACACCTACGGATGCATCCGTATGGAACCTGTACCCATGATAAAATGGTCTTACAAGGGTAGAGAGGCCATATATACAAAATAAAATTTTAGCAAAAGAGAAAAACTAAATATTGTACTCCAATGTCAAACACATGAAAGATGAGGGTCAAAACCGTTACTAAGTTTATGCATCTTATCCCAATCTTGGGTTGCTGATTCAGGTTTTGTTTTTCTTGGTTGGCTTATTTTAGGAGAGTATTTAGCTGGCTCTTTTTGGCTTTTTATTCTCTCCCGTATAATAATATAAGGGTGAGGTTTGCATAAGGTGCCAACCTTATACTATTGAAGTACAGTGTACCTCAAAAGTATGCCAAAAATACAGTTTCGGTGCTGTAAAGTCTTGCGATGATATAAAAATTTATTGTTGCCTCTAATTATGAAATTTAAAATTTAGAAGGGATGACGATCAAGCAAATATATATACACTCGAAAATCTTAAATATAGATAGTACAAATAATGTATTAGAAGATCAAATATTTGTAGGACTAAAAATCCTCTTTTTTCATGTCTATATCGAGGTCGAGGTGATTGATTTGAGGGTTTTCCAGCATAAAAACAACCTTTTCTAATGGGTTTTTTAAATATATCTTACTTATATAGTAGAAAGTTGACACCTTATACAATCCATATTTTAAGGAAAAACGTTAACGTACGGTTTGGTTTTAGCACCCAAAATACTTAAGGAAAAAGTTGTTTTGATGTTAGTAAACTCTCAAATTGATTATCTTATATTCAAGATGTATAAATATATATGTTGGGACAAAAGAAAAAGATTAAGTTATGAAAGTAGTATCAAGATGTTTCAAAAACGTTGACACCTTATACACTCTATTTGGAGCTTTAAATTTCATAATTGGGGGTATTCTTGTGCCATTGCAAAGCTTTCCGACATCAAAATTGCATCTTTCGGCATGGTTCTTGAAGCACGCCTTATTTCAATAGTATAAAGTTGATATCTTATACCATCCTTACCCATATTTTATACTTTCAAGTAAGTGTGGTTTGAATAGAGTCTAGGCTCTAAACAATCAACTTAGAGCCTACCTTCAAATAGTATCGAGAAATGTGGTTTCAATATGGGAAGTCTTTGTGACAGCCTTAAAGTATACTGTCATATTTATTTATATAGTTTAAAGCTTAAAAAATTGTGTAGATCGGCATATTTATGAAAACTTGAAAATCTTGAAAAAAATTGACGGTCCAAAAATGTGTTACAAAATACACTATTTCCAAAACTTGCAATCCATTTTTTTGTCGTGTCCATGCATTTTAATGTCGAGATGATCAATTTGACGATATTTGAGCATCAAAACAACCTTTTCAAGAAAATATTTTGAAGTAAGCTCAAATTTGATTGTTTAGAGCCTCAGCTCTATATAGACTTTTCCCTTCAACTATTATCTTCTTTCTCATGCTCATACACACCACCAACAAAAGCCCAGAGATCGGGAAGATGCTACGAAAATTGGGAAAATCTTTGAACCTTAAACTAATGGGTCGGTTTGTATAGAGCCTAGGCTCTAAACAATCAAATTGGAGCCTACCTTCAAATAGTGTCGAGAAATGTGGTTTCAATGTTGGAAATCCTTGTGATAGCCTTAAAATATATTTTCATATTTATTTATAAAGTTTAAAGCTTAAAAAATATTGTTGATCGACAGATCTATAAAAACTTGAAAATCTTGAAAATTGACGGTCCAAAAATGCATTACAAAATGCACTATTTCCAAAACTTGAAATCCATTTTTTTCTCATGTCCATACATCTTGATGTCGAGATGATCAATTTGAAGATATTTGGGCATCAAAACAACTTCTTCTAGTGAAATGTTTTAGGTAAGTTAAAATTTGATTGTTTAGAGCCTCGGGTCTATATAAACTTTTCCTTAAAACTAATCTAACATTTTAAAATTTTAATTAAAAAAAAAAGAAAAAGTTAGCAAGAGAGATACTAGATGGAGCTTTTCCATAATCATGATATCATGACAAAGCACGACTTATCAAGTGGTATCTTTACTGCAAAAAAAACATAAATATTTTTAATAGAAGTAGACAAATGAAAAACAAAATGGCTTATGGTTATGGTACCCCCAACGGCATAGATTGAATCTTGGGATATTTGGCTTATACTATTGTATCAGAATGAATAGATAGCAAAATTGTACTGTGATTTCGTCTATAGGCTCTCCACCAGCCTTTTTTTTTGCACAGTGGGTATGTTAAGGCTCTAACCTACTTTATCGAATTCCTTGAAATTCTGTATAAGGCGTTTTGGTGATTTGGTCCAAGACAACAGTAGTGTTAAATTATTAAAATCCTAGTCTTGAATTCCTGAACTTGAACTAGAGATTTTAGTAACAAACACGTGTTCTAGGAACTTAGAAGATGCCGGAATAGTTACATCATGTGGTTGGGGCCACTTAAGTCAAGCCAAATAAGATAATACAATAACCCTGCTCGTTCCAAGTTCCTAAATGTAGAAAAAGAATTTTAATGGAAATATATGTTTAGGGCTGCAATACCATCCAGTAGTAGGGGTGGCAATGGATCCAGACCTGACCCAGGACCCATCGGGTATATCCGACATTGGTCCAAGTATGGATCAAGCAATTGGACTCAGTGGATTGGGGTCTGGGTCTAAAACTTGGACCCACAAATTATTCAGGTCTGGGTCGTTGGAGATAAAATACTTTACTTTAAGACCTATTCGTTTGGGTGTATTAATGATCATATACAAGAACTCATAGTCATCTTTAGCTATTAAACGACAAATCAATCAGCTTAAAATCTAACAGCAAGTGATTGTGACATTGTTGCCAGTAATACGGGTATATAATTATATAAAAAAAAAAAAAGACATAAAAAAGCGCTTAGTGGCATTGGACCTAACCAGACCTCGGACCCGACGGGCATAGGTATGGGTCCAAGTTTTGAACCCAACGGTTTGGGTCCGGAAACCCATATACTATTCGGGCCTGAGTCCAGGTCCAGCTAGACCCGACCCATTGCCAACCCTATCTAATAGGGGTATTTACCTCGGTGTGGGAAGTGGGTTCAAATTATCAAAATATTTGTGCTTGTTCAAATAATATAATGCCGCCACTTCGAGTGTTTTTTAACAAAATAGTTGACAAGGCACTTTATTTCCTTTTAAAACAATTTTGATTGATTTGACAACGTCAGCCAATCTTGGTTGGTAATCCTTTCCGATAAAAAATTGTTAGAAAAGCATAGGATTTAAAAGATATTTTGCACAACCAATAACTTAACATGGCAAATCTTCATTATTGAATATCGTTGCTGCAACATAAATGAAATACATATTTGAAACACAACCACACTGAAATTGGTTACTGAATTTCATATGAAAATGGTCATTGATTATCCCTTTTAACTCTAAACATGAAAAAAAACTATCACAAAAAAAGTCTTCGAATAAAAAATAAGAAAGGAATATAACTTGCTTTCCTTTTGTGCACAAACAAAGGGCAAAGGGAAATATCACATTAAACACCTCAATATTGAGATTTATCGAGGGTATCAAAGTAAGGATGATCCAGAGCTGCCTTGGCTGATATTCTATTTGCAGGATCATACTGAAGCATTTTCTGCACAACATAATTTTTCGGTGTTAGTTTTTTAGGACAAATTATTATAAATAGTGGAAATTTATCAATTACTTTTGGGGATTTTATAAACAGACCAGCTACAATTATTCCCACTTATTAGATGTCAAATTGGACAGCTTGAGGTGAGTCACAAAGTCCGAGATTTTGGAACTATATATCTATTCAATGACACACTCACTACCACCCATTTTAAAATTTAAGGGACAATAATGATAGTGACCTGCATGCACAAAAGATAAATGATCACTTTGTAGACAATCTTATTACTTATTGGAGATGAACAGTTTAACACTTTATCCATATCCTTTTTTATTTAATTTCAAAATACTTGTAACATAACGCATGATCTTGAGATCGCAATTAAGTACAATGTTAAATAGTTCATCTCTTATAGGTATTTTGATAAATTTGCATCGTAAATATGTATCATGCATAGGAAAATGATTGCCAATGCCCAAACCATTACTCTGTACAAGTACGCCACATATTTTTTTAGGGTCATCTTTCAGGGATAGATCCCTGCTTGACTTGAGCGAAAACCTTTCTTCTTTGTCCAAGATTCATCTAATGGATATTCCCTAAAAAATGGCCCAACAAAATACAACTAACCCCAAAAAAATACAACTAACCCCAAAAAAATGGGGTAGGCGAACTTGTAGAGTAAATGAGTGTAAGCATTTGCCATCATTTTTCACATTACATGCGTATAGGCCCACAGAGGAAAAAGGCAATTCGGTTATACTTGCAACCAGATCTTATTCAAAAGGTAGATAACATATTTCATATTTGAATTTGAATCTTTTGGATCATCAAATTGACATGAAATTTTGGCATGTATAGATCTAAAGAAGGTGCATCTGATAACAAAAACAATAAAATATTTGGAATAATATAATTGACCAAAGTACCTTTGCAACTTTTTGTATTTTCTTTAGATCCATACATGCCGAAAATTTCTAAAAAATAATATTAAAATACGAAATGCATTCTCCACAATCCAATCAAAATAGAATTGTGGATATACTAAGCGAAACTACTACTCCATACATGTGCAACTGTTTTGATAGCCTGTTTGGTAGCCTTTTGGATAGACAGATACACATACAGCTAGGTACATATATGTGCTGTGAAAGTGCATACGTTGTGTATGCATGCATGCATCTTGTTAGATGCATGTATATATCCATGAGTGCATGCATAATATATGTACTTATATATATATATGTACTTATATGCATACTACATATACGCACAAATCCACACAAGCATATACAATGCATGCTTCTCTAGTCTAAATATGCTCACACAATATATATATATATATATATATATATAGAAAAACACTACAAAGCGTTTATAGGTGAAGTTCTACAATACTTTACCTATGGCTTTATCACCGTTCAAAGTTTATCACACCGTCATATAATGTTTGAATTTTAATTTTTAATTTTTTTTTACAAATCATAATGATATGAAATGTTGTA